AGAGAGAGAGAGAGAGAGAGAGAGAGAGAGAGAGAGAGAGCGCGCGAGAGAGGGACAGAGAAAGAGAAAGACTGTGAGTGAAAGTGAGGGAAGTATCGATAAAGCAAGAAAGAGGACAGTGGTTCTGTCATCGCGACAACGACCTACTTCTTCATTATTGGCTGCTAGGCGCCACGAAGCACGTAACAGTCAGCTATTGACCATGTCTAGTAACGGTGCAAGCCTTTAGGGGCTTCTGTAACTGCGTATTCCACTGGCTTCACATTATTAGGAAGCTTACCGTTTACATATACAATTCGAAACGAGACTTGTACAGTTTGTAACAACAACAACAACATTTTAATGCCCAATACTGCAAGCCGTTTCACTCGTCAAAAATTACCAATACTATAAACGTTATAAGCGGTAGATAGGTCATACAATGCGTTCTATTAGTCACCATCGCTTGATGATGAATTGCTGCAACGCGCTAGTGTAACTAACGCGCTAGTGTAACTAAGACAAAAATGTAACTATAGACAATAAATCAAGCGAACTGCGAAACGAGCAACCGCGCACGACAGAAAGTCATAAATAGCGAGGCGGAGAATGGAGAGGCTGGGACGAGGATATGAGTCGAGTGGGAAATCGAAAGAAGAAGACAGAAGCGACTAAAGAGGAGAAGAAGGAGAAGCCATGACGACTAGAAGAAAGAGAATAGGATGCGCGAGAGGAGCGAGGCAGGCAGGAACGTAAAACGAGGAAGCGCTAAAAAGGAAAGGAAAGAAGCTACGATGCGGAAAATGAAGGAAGGTTGCGAGGGAGAGTCAGGGCCCAAGTTGGCAAGAGGGTTAGAAAGGGGTTAAAAATATGAACGATATTTTTAAGAGAGAATTAACGGTACTAAAGAGGAAACAACAGGAAAGAACTAAGAAAAAGAACATCGATAAATATACGCAGATGCAGATCTAGAAAAGAGAAAATGATAGATGAGAGGAAAAAGGAAGGAACTGACAGACAACTACAATGGGACCGTCGTAGGTGAAGCAAGCAGCGGGACAAATGATGGAAGATTAGTGGTAGAGCGAAGAGCATCATGGAAGAGAGAGTAAGCAGCAGGTGGGAGGTGAGGAAGCAACAGGAGGGAGGGAAGTGGGTGTGAGCAGGAGGAGGGAGGTGAGGTGAGCAGGAGGAGGGAGGTGGGGAGAGCAGCAGCAAAATGATAAACACATAGCGAGACGAGAGCGAATAGATGACAACGATACACCGTCCGCCCCGCCATCTGCCGGACGCTATCCGCAATCTGCGATGTCGCCCCTTGTATAGATAGATACGCATCTCGCATGTACATGGTTTACACTCATGGCCAACCGCTTAATATAAGTAACAGATGAGGCAATGCCACTCCCGCTCCGTCTCCTTGACCCGATTTTTCACGCGGCCCCATCGTCTCTCGTAAAACACTACTCATGCATGCAGCAATCAACATTGAAAACACACGCACGCACACGCACGCACACACACACACACACACACCGCGATAGCGACTGAAGAGGAAGAAGAGAGAGCTTACGTCAAGCCAATTAGGAGACAGACGGGACGCCCGCGTGCGGCTCCTGGACGAGATTACGTTCCGCTACAAGCGCTCGTGACTTGACTGATGAAATCGGTAGTGTCTCTCGCCTCGTCCTTTCTGGATTGGCGGGTGAGATCCGGTCTCCCGGGTAGAACAGGATAACTTCCGTCCTAGATAAGCGGGAGAGATCCAGTCTCTCGGGTAGAACAGGGTAACTTCCGTCCAGGATGAACGGGATAGATCCACATTCCCGGGTAGAACCCGAATAACTTCCGTCCTGGGTGAGCGGGAGAGATCCACACTCTCCCAGGTATAACCAGATAACCTCCGGCCTGGGTGAGTGGGAGAGATCCAGTATCCCGGGTAAGATCCCGGTAACTTCCGCCCTGGATGCGTGGCGGGGCAGCTAGCATCCTGGGTAGCAGACGGGAACACACGAGCGCCTGATTCGTCACAATAAGCCTAATAAAACTGACCCTCCACCTCCCCTACACACACTGGCTAGAAATAACACGCATAAATCCCACTGTTATAGGCTCACTACCGGCGTTGCAACGGCATCAAAAACGCGCTCTTACGAAAAAAATAAAAGCACACCACGTGACGCCGCCGCTGTGGTCCTTTTCCTTGTTGTCATTGCCGTATATGTCAATCTCCCGTTATGAACGGGACACATTCGACACACAAACACGGAAAGCCTCAGAGAGATCACGAGCCCGTGTACGTATACGTCGCGGGTTAAGCAGTCCATGGATCTCTTGCTCTCTCTCTCTCTCTCTCTCTATCTATCGCTCTGCGCTTATTTATCGTCCGCCGAGAAGTGTACTCAATCGTCTCCTCCAACAAAAACCCCACCCTTCAGTCTCTCTCTCTCTCCCTCTCCCCCATCTCTCGCGGTCCGCCTTCTGTCACATGATTTTCCTCTCGTCCCCTCTCTCCCCCTTTCCTCTCCTTCTCTCTCCCCTCTCTCCTCTCCCCTCTCTCTCACCACTCTCCTCCCTACTCGCGCCCTTCTCTCCCTCAATCTCCTGCCCACTCTCTCCCCACTAACAATCCATCGCCCCGTCTCATCCATATTCTCTGCCCCTCTCTATCCCCATTTCTAACTCTCATCATCAATACCTTGCATCTACATAACTGTGCTCCATCAACGCTAGAGCACAAAAAAAAAAGCGAAACGATAAAGGGTAAGCAGCTCGGATCTCGTTATACGGTAACACGCAGCGCGGCAGAATTCGCTCAGCGAGACCATTAACCGCGGCTTCGTTTGATTCACCGACCTATTCGTCGATCGATATCAGGAGTTGGAGGCTTTCATATTGACAGACACCAGAGGGCACTGACGCGACGGATACACACCGGAGATTAAATGCTCTATCTGTAACCCTAATGATATATATATCATTCCGATTTACACTCTATCTGCGCTCTTCTCTCTTTTCTCTTTTCAACTAGTCTTCTACGTCTCTCTCTCTGTCTCTAGCATGCGTCCCCGTGTATGGTCTCTCATCTCGTCTCCACTCCGTCCTCCGTCTCTCTCGTCGTCGTCTCTCTCTTCTCTCTTTTTGCCTATCTCGTCTCTCCTGCTCTCTCATCTTGGCTCTCTCTGTCTTTATCCGTTCTCTATCTTCTGTCCTCTGTATGTCTCTTCCCGGTGAAGGCCAGTGTTCTCACAGGTCGGAGAGTGAGCGTCTAGAGAGGGGTTTAGCGCATCCTTGAGACACACACGGTTGTCGCTGTTGTCGTACGACGGTCGAAAATTTGAAGCCAACAAGACGACGACGCGCCGGTCGATCTGTTTTTCTCGCGATTAGCAGTACGCGAGCACTCCCCAAACCGATCATCGAATGAATTTCTCGTGGGGCGCATCGCCCGGGATCGTGGCAGGGAGGGTGGCCAGACCGGTGCCTCCAGGGAACTGTGTACAGCACACACACACAATCCCTGGGGGACCGGCGACATACCATGCGGCTCTACAGACAGGCGCCCGCACGACGCACACACAGCAACAAGCCGAGCGAGGCACATACCACACAGCAACCACACACACATCACACACACACACACACAGAGCCAGCACAGCACAACACCACAGACAGCACACACGCCACACACCACGGTAAGTACATAAAGATGTAGTCAGGTATCGCCGCCGGTGAGGGAACGGCGTTGATCTCTCCGCAAGACGCGCACTTCTCTGCGCTTTCTCGTGGGCGCGTTTGGCTCCTTATCTCTTTGTCTCTCTCGCTCTCTCTTCTCGTCTTTCTTGTTTCTTCTCGCTGGCTCTCGATCTCGTCTCTCTCTCTTATCTTCCTTCTGGCCTGACGCTCTGTCTCTCTCTGCTTCGCGGCCGGGGGCGTCGGATCTGTCTCTCGTCCCGGTCTCTGTCCGTCTGCTAATCATCCTCTCTCTCGACTTTTCGACTATCTTTTCTACATCATAGCGCCACTATTTCTCTCCCGGTAGAATCGCATAACCCTTGTCATATCTACCTCTCTTCTATCGCTCTCATCCGTCTCTCTCGTCTCTCCTTCCCGTCTCTCAACTCTTCTCTCTCCTGTCTCGTCTCCTCTCTTCTCATCTCTCTATCTAACTGCTATTATCGCAGCTCTTGTCTCTCGGAATCTTCCCTTTTCTTTCTCTCTCTCTCGCACTGTATATATATATATATATATATATATACGTAATCCACGTGCGGTTACTTGACGCTGAGGATCTTCTGGAAGGCTCGTCGGAAGTCGATGTTGAAGATCGTATAGATGAGCGGGTTAAGGCAAGAGTTGACGTAGCCGAGCCAGGTGATGAAGTTCTGTAGACGCTCGCTGGCTCGGCAGCGCGCGCAGAACGGCAGTATGACGTACATGAGGAAGAACGGCAGCCAGCAGAGAACGAACACACCCATGATGATTCCCAGCGTCTTCGCTGCTCTGCGCTCCTTCGACAGCGAGATTTTTTGTTTTCCCTCGAGGAACGAGCGCACCTGACGCGAACAGCGTCGCTCCAGAGGTTCCTTAGCGCTGCTGCCGCGACGCGAGCTCTTACCGCCACCGACCGTCAGCGTGTTCTGACCCTTGAAGACGCCGTGGTTGTCGTTCACCTCGCGCTGCTGTCCGTCGCTCGGCAGCGACGCGCGCGACATCTCGTACATGGCGACGGCGGCGGAAGTGTCGTCGCCGAGGACCGTGTCGCTCTGTAAGTCGGCGCGCGTCGCTCGCACCGTCGACGACGCTTCCATGATGTGCTTCGTCGCCTTGGCGCGCTCGCGAAGGCGCCGCCTGGTGGCGAGAAAGATCTTGAAGTAGACGGTCGCCATGATGACGAGCGGTATGTAGAAGGACCCGGACGACGAGTAGATGATGTAACCGCGCTCCTCCGTCAGCCGACAGATCTTCGGCCGATCCGGATCGACGTCCTCCGTCCAGTCGTTCCAGCCGATGAGCGGCGG